AAAGCCAGCACAGAGGAAATCAGAGCCAAGAGACAGAGAGGGAGATATTTTTAAACATAGCCTTTCAGTCCCTGGATGCAGCCATACCTGAATACAACAGACCCTGGGTTTTCTCAGTCACATAAACCAATTAAACCTAGATCTCTGCCACTTCAGCTAACGAGAGAGTTCCAAACACTATTCCTATTCAGGACCAGGTACCATGCTGGCCAGTGGGCTACAACCACAGATACGTGAGCCTGATCCTAAAAGAGCTCGAGTTCTCTTTCATTCTTAATTACCGCTGCATAGGGATGGACTTCATGAACTATAAACATTCCCCCTTTTAAAGTGTACAACTCATGGTTTTTGGTTTTCTGTTTTTTTGTTTTGTTTTTTTTTTTTTTATTCACAGAACCACACAACCAGCTCCACTACCGTTTTCTACCTTACAGTGAAAATGAGGAATGCGTTCTTGCACTGTTCTCTATTTGCAGGTTGCCTCTCTCAAGCCCAGGACCATGTTCTCTGCCTCTCTGCAGTAAATCCAGTAGGTGTTCAGTAAACATGTGTTGAGCTGTACTCAGACCTACTTAGGAAGCACAGCCACATCCCACCAGTTGCTTGGATCCTTTCTAAAGCACTATGAATAAGAGAACAGGTATTTGGCAAAACCACTCTGGAAAAAGACACGCTTACCCACCACAAAATTTTTTCTCAGTTTTCTAAGTTGGATCCCTGCATTGGGGTGATCTTGCTGAGAGTTGTATACCTTTGGCTCCCTGAACTTTCCCTAAATTTATTACATAATTATCCACAATAGTAATAAGTGGGGATATATGTATGTCCAACAATTAGACACTATGGAGTACCCAAAGAATAGACTAATATACAAAGAATAGAATAGTATACAGCCACTAAAAATCACAGTCACAAAAATGCTTTGAAGGCACGAGGAAATACTCATGATATAATACCTCTAGCAGCTGTAGGCTTACACACTCCCAGTTTAGAAACTTCACTAAGAGCTCACGGAGTAAGATCACAAGTACACAAAATAATAAACACTGAAAACTGAAAGGGAATAATGATAATTATTAAGCACAATTATTTTTATGTAGGTGGCTTATGGGAATAATGATAATTATTAAGCACAATTATTTTTGCGTAGGTGGCTTATGAATAATTATTATTTTTCTTCATGTTTCTCTGTAATTTTCAAATTTTCTACAATGAATATCAATCAAATAAGAAAAGTAACCTTATTTTTAAACTATCCCATAGCCATTATTTTATTTTATTAATGTGTCTACTGAAGAATAAGAAGCAATCGCATGGAGGACATTTCTGAATCTTCTGAAAAACTTTTTTAAAAGGAGACATTGTACTTTGGATCCTTCTAATTGAACATGTAAATATCTACCATATTTACTTTTTTACTTTGACTGCCAGGAAGCCCAGAGCTAAGTTAAATACTCAAAATGCAATGATCTTTTACCCCAGATTCTTACTATGGTAACTTCCATGTTTATATATATATATATATTTTTTTTATATAAATTTTAGTAGAGCACATATCTCCACACTGGAGAGAGACCAAAAAAAAAGAGAGGGAACGTGAGAAAGCACCACCTGTGGGAGATGACCGTTCTGCAATCCCTTCTCCTCTGTGTCTCCTTTCAGGATTTTGGGCAAGCAAGCACACAACCTGGCATGTTTTTCCAGTTACTGGGTCGAGGACTCAAACTGCACAGTTATTCATGTGGGATCTAGTCACCTTAACCACCACGCCTCCAGCTGGCCCCTCTATATAGCTTTGATGCTTCCTCTTACCTGTATTCACTGGTCTTGCTTGTGTTTCTACTTGCACAAGTCCTCCCTGCACTATATAAATAAGAACTTGCTGAAATGATTTCCTATCACACCAGAGAAGCAGAGGTTCTCATAGGCAGGTGTAGTATTAGGTATTTCATTTTTGCAAGCATGTGGCACTGAGTAGGGCTTTGAGAGTTCTATTACTGTTCTGGCTACAGGAGAGGATGAGCATGGATAAAGACTGTAGCAGGCTTGGTTATTGAGACAGCCTGTCTCAACAACCACTGACCAGATTAACCCATTCCTTGCTGAATCTCCATCTCCTTGCAGACCATGTGGACAAAGGTCCATCCTGACTGCCTCGTCCCTGGCCATTGAATCCATTAACTAACAGCAAGTCAGCAAAGCAAGCCAAAATCCATACCCATCCTGTATTCAAGTCTACAGACCATAAGGGACACAGAGGGCAAGTAATTAGGCTGAACACACACTCCACAAAGAAATCTGAATAAATCGGGCCCCAAACAGTCTTCAAATCGTTCTGCATTTTGCTGCAAATTACCCAGACTGATCCTTCCTTCACTCTGGCTCAGAGAGAAAGTACCTCTCCTTTAAAGATGAGGCCACTTGGAAACACTAAGTAATTATATCACCTGGGTACTCTCCCGAATGGTGTCCTCCATGGCAAGAGATAACCTATTTGACTGTTAGCCAGAATTCCTTTCTTTCTGGTGCTCACCACCCTGACTCGCCCCAAGATTTCAAAAGCAGGGAAAAGAAATAAGCAGTCTTCGTATTTTAGTTGTGACATTTTATCACATCTAAAGCCACGATGTGTCTTACTTGCGAATCCACGCCAAATAAAAATGAAGGACGGGAGGCAGGCAACATTTATTTAGTGCTTACAGCATGCCACGCCGAGCCCTGGCTGCGGAGCCTGCCAGCTCAAGGCATCTCCTGCTCTGCCCTGTTAGCTTCTTAAGCCTCACATCGCCACACCACAGAGTACAGATAATATTCCCACTTTTTCAGATCTGGACACCTGGGCTTAGAGAGATTACATACCTGCCTCAAGGTCACACGGGGTGGGGGGTAACCTGTTTCTAACTACAGAACCCGGGTCCAGTCTACCCCACAGCCAGAGCTCTGGGCCCTTCAAAGGACTGGCGAAGCTCCCGGGTTTGCATGACACTGCGATGATCCTTCCTCCTCCTTTCCACTGTTTCCTAAATATTTCCACAAGCTGGAGAGCCTTCCAATTGCCTCATCCTCTTGACTTGGGGCCCTCTAACTCAGAAAGTCATCTAGACACACTCGAAAAATTAAATGTAATAGCTTCAACCCACACCCTGAAACCGAGAGCCCATCCTCACGCCGCCACAAGCAGGCGAATGTGCAATCTCTTGCAGGGAAGCCTCCTAAAGCGAAGAAACTGATGGTGAAAACATCGTGCAGCTGGCAGTACCTGGTGATGATGCAAGCGGGGCTGCCCTGCTACCAATGTTTTTGCCTCCTAAGAAGCGGTTCTCTGGTGTCCCTTCCAGAAGACTACGTATGGAACCCACAGAGACGCGATGCCAAGACATGCCTCCGTGTCAGTGCATGGCTCTCGCCATTTCGGTGTGCTGGACAAATACCCCAGGGAACTTAAGAAATGCTCGGGCAAAGGAGGAGGGCAATGGGAATGTCATTCGAATATGATTTCACACCTGGTTAGCCCTGCACAGCCACCCAGCGTGCATCCTCCCGGGGCAGAGGACGCCTCTCCGCCTGCAGCACCCTGTGCGCACCGCCGCCAACTGCCACCGGTTCCTTCACCTTTTATTTACAGCGCAGAGCAAGCTGGTTCATCAGTGAAGCGGGGGAGGCGGGGAGTAAGGTACAATCTAGATTCTGCTCCTTCTCCAGGGACATAAAAAGGGTCAGAGAAAGGAGAAAGCGAAACCTAGGCTGCTCCAGCAGCGCGGTGTCGTGACCTTCCTCCCCAAAGGGGTCTGCACCTGGGCTGAAGCAGAAGCGCCCGGGGAGCTCCGGGAAGCCGGGGTCAAGCCCTGCGCCTGGGGCCCGCTTGGCGAGGTGGAAGAGGCGCCAACGGAGCGTACTGCACAGGAAATCACTGCCCCCTTCAGGCCGCGTCTCAGACTCTGCGGCCGGAGCTAGGGGCTCTCTCCGTACACAAAAACTCGCGAACCCGACCTTGCGCGGCCGACTTTCGCTCGTTCAGGCCGCCTCCGCGATCCCCAGTCCCAGGGCTGGAGGTGAAGGTCCTCACTGGGGCTTCAGGCAGAACCCACGTCTAGGGCTTGGGGAGGGGTCTTGGCCTGGGAAGCTTTTAACTCTCCCGGGTTCCAATCAGAGGAGGCCAGAGGGAAGCCGGTTGCTGCGCTCCAAGTCCCTGCTCCGGCTACCAGGTCGCTTCAAGTCTGCGCCCAGAAAACTGCGCCGGCAGCCTCCCGACACCACCGCGCGTCTGGGGCGAGACCTGCCAGGGTACTTTCTGAGCAACTAACCCGAGGGCGGTTTCCTCATAAAACCTCTCCGGCTACAGCCAGCGATAGGCACATCCAGGCAGCAACGCTACAGAGCTGGTGGCCGCACACCTGCCGGCGCCGTGCGGGCTCCGCGAGCAGCTAGCGCGCACCACGCGCCCAGCCCCGCTGCGCGCTCGGCCCCCTCTGGCCCCTTGGGTCCCGTAGCGCTCTGGACTGAAAAGGCAGTTCGGCTTTGCTAGGGGCCAGTGAGCAGGCCTGCGGCCCCTCCGGCCCTGGGTGGCCCAGTTTGCAGTCAATGCGCCTGTTCCTCCCACCCGGAACCCCACAGCCCGGTGAGAGATACTTGGGAAGGGGACACCACTGCAGGCCTTTGGGGATTCATCCCCCACCTTCCCCTCTCCTTCTCTGGTCAAAGGACACCCTAGTCTTCTATTCGCGCCTCCTCCCCAACACACACACATGCACACAGACACACATACATATCCCACAAGAGGAAGATGCTAGGCAAATGTTGGTACCAGCTGTGCTCGCCAAGCCCAGCAGGACCCCGGGGGCTGAGCACTGAGCACCAGCCGGCGGTGCCCTGGGCAGGCGCCGGCAAATCAATCGGAGCTCTAGCCAAGGGTCGGAGCTTGCCTCTGTCCAGCACTCCCACCAACATCGCCCCCCACCCCCACCACCGAGCCCCGACGGCACGGGATGCCGGGCACTCACCTCGGTGTCGTAGAGCCGCAGGTCGAGGAAGTAGGGGCGCAGGAGTGACTCGTTGCGGATCTGCTCGATGGCCAGTTCCACCGCGGGGAGCACGCCGCGCCCGATGCTGCCCTTGGCCACCTCCTTGGTGAGCGGCATGAGGCCCATGATGGAGAGCGGCGGGCTGCTGGGC